GGAGAATGGGGGAGGCACCACAGGAAACCTGGCCATGTCTGAGGCTGTGGCCCCACACCTTGTTGCAGCTGCAACCCTGGCAGTTAGAAACCTTGCTGTGGTCTAACCTCAGCAGGCACTCACTGCCTCACCCTCCCCCATAGGTGGGATGGGGGAAGAGAGAATAAAAAGGGTGAAAATGAGAACATTTGTGGGTTGAGGTAAAGACAATTTAATAGGTAAAGCTGTGCACACAAGCAAAGCAAAACAAGCAATTCATTCACTACTTCCCATGTTCAGGCAGGTGTTCAGCCATCCCCAGGAGAGCAGGGCTCCATCATGCGTAACGGTGGCTGGGGAAGACAAACACCACCACTCCGAACATCCCCCCTTCCTTCTTCTTTCCCCATGCTGAGCATGGTGCCATATGGCATGGAATGTCCCTCTGGTCAGTTGGGATCAGCTGTCCTGGCTGTGGCCCCTCCCAGATTCTTGTGCACCTCCAGCCCCACCACGGGCGAGGCAGCAAGAGAAGCAGAAAAGGCCTTGGCTCCCTGTAAGCCCTGCTCAGCAATAGCTACAACATCTCTGTGTTACCAGCACTGTTTACAGCACAAAATCCAAAACACATCCCACTGCTACCTACTGTGAAGAAAATAAACTACCTCAGCCAAAACCAGCACAAACCTCCATCAGCAGGAAAAAATCCAGGGATCAATAGTTATTGATTTCTCCTCTGATACATGACACAGTGCAGGCTGCACTAAAGTTGAGGGCTCTAAGCCCAAAGCAAGCCCCAAATACCAAGGCTAACTGAAGAAGGCTCTCACACTGTGTTTATCTGGGATGAATATTCCCCCCCTGAACATCCACTGATGGCTTCACTTGGACAGCAGGAGACTGGGTTTGATCCTGAGCTGGTGCACCTATGGAGTTGCATTTGTGTCAGGGAAGAGAAGGAGCATCAGCTTGCCCTCCAGCTTCTGTGGGCTGTGTGGGCTCAAACCCACGGCAGAAAGGCTCAGGTGGATTCTGGGGTCTGCCCTTCCAACCCTGCTAATTGCCAGACTCAGCCAAAGGGGAAGGTACTCGGCAAGTACTTGGAAGAAGTAGAGAGGATGGTTCTTAAGGGGTGGCTTGCTTTGCTCAAAACCTCTCCCAGCAGACAGCATGGTTAGATTTTGTGGGAAATGGACATGTTTTCATTGTAAATCTATCCTGGAGATAAAAGTAAGAGGGGGTTAAAGTGGTTGAATAATGCCAAAACGGGACATTTTTGGTTAAAACAAAACTAAGATTTGTTGGGATTTCAGTTTGAGGGGTTTTTTTTCCTTTTGGGCAAAATTTCTTGTTTCACATAAATCAAATACTTGAAATAATTTCCTCCTGGTTCTGGTCCTGAACTGAAGGCCCCGCTGTGCTATTCAAGTGTATTGGGAATATCTCCCAATTACTGAAATGACAATATACTTCTTTCTTTTTTTCCAAAAGCCTGTCTGGAGTGACTGGCCCTGTCAATGGGATCCTGGCAGGTACAAGAATTTTTAATTGCTTTTCTCTGTATCCTGTGAAAAGCCCTATGCCAGAGGAAAACCTGAGACAACCAAGACCTATCTGGAGTCCATCTGAAACATCCCACCTCATTGCCTGCCCACCCCTTGCACAGCTTCTTTAAGGGTCCAGTTGTCTTTACAGTACTGGTTTCCAGTAACATAGCTTTCTTTGAGGGCACAGTTCCTAATTACTAGGGGGGAAAAAATGGGCTAATCAGTAGTTATCCTGTCTGCCTCCTCAGTGGGCATGTAGCTTATCAGACTGAGAGAACACAGAGAAGAGTGGAGGAGGAAGGTAAACAGCTGAAGGAGCAAACAGCTGAAGATTTTTAGAGGGAGATGAGACAGGATCAGAAACTGCTGCAGCAAATAACTGAGGGCATTTCCTTTCCCTCTGCTGCAGACCAACTTCAGAAGGTTTTTTCACCTCTGTCCTTTGTAGCAGTGATTGAATCTACCGGTGTAGAGAGGCTGTGCTCTCTCTGAAGGGCAAGATAAAGAAGGCTGGAGAGAAAGGCAAGGGTAGACATTTGGGAAGGGGAATGTATGGAAACTGTAAGCAGCAAACCAGAAAATTAGTTACTCCCTAACACCTGGAGCTTTTGCCCCCTTCTGCAGTGGGTGTCAGCATGGGGGCAGATCTACCCCCAGCTGGGTGGGTGTCACAAGTGAGTGGTTTAGGTCACTTAAAGAATTACTGTCAAAGGCATTGGAAAAGGGGGCAATACCTTCTCCTCTAAGTGTCCATATTTGGGGTGGACTGGATTTACAACAGGCTCTGACCTGCTCTCTGCAGGGGTTGTCCTTCTATCCTGGACATGGCTTCAGCCTTTAGGCACACAGCTCCCTAGTGCTGCACTGCCCTTAGTGATATCCTGGCAGGACTGAGGGATTTGGATAGATAAGGTCATACAGGAAGCCTGTGGAAGAGAACGAGTACTAAATCCAGAGTACTCATCAAAGAAACCTTCTCTCCAGCACTTCCAGACATTTGCTACTAATTGCTTGGCCAGGTGCCAAAGGAAACTTTAGATTGTGAAAGCTGTATTGTTTTAAGTAACTGCTAAAATCACCAGGGCTTATCAACCCAGAGGCCTATTTAAGCAATTCCTCCTCTTAAAGCTTAAAGATGTTGCTATGATTTCCACTTGCAGGTCAGTGAAGGGGATGTGGAATCATAACCATCAAATTCAGGTATGTTTTGAAGACTTTTCTCTCTGGCATCTTGCTACAAGTTGAGGCTTTATGGCAAGTGCCAGGTTGGAAAGTCATCGGTTTGGAATGGGGTTGTGCAGGAGAGGAGGTGCTGGGGAGGAGACAGGACAGAGGGAAAGGCACAAAAGAGAGACAGGAACGGGTAGATGGGCTTCTGGGTCAGCTCAGACAGGACTTTGCCCACACAGCTCACACACAAACATCCATGTTCAACAGTCCCAGCACAACAAAGGCTGTCCTGGGAGAGGGAATGGCTAAAGAGGGACCTTTCCAATTCCTGGCCACATGCTGTAGAGGCAAACGTGCATTCCTCTGCCTCTTCCCTCGAGCACTGCTGACTGCTGCTGCCTCCTCAGTTGTGCCAGAGCCTGGTGCACACCCCGAAAAAGCTGAGATGCCCCAGGCATGGGCATGGGCTTCATGTCATCTCCCTTCTCCTCCCCAGGGTGTACCGCTCCGAGTTCATCACCCAGTGGAAGGAACTCCATCTGGACGTTGTGCTGTGCTCTGTCCCGAGGCCTGCCTTCACCACGGGATACCCTGGGAAACTCCTCAGTAAGTGAGTCTGGGACCTTCCTGGGAGGGACCACAGTGGTTGAGACTGGAGAGAAACAACTGGCACCAGGGAGCTTCACCACCCACCTAAGCATTTTATGGGAATTAGGAAGGAAAAGTAACGACCATAAAGCTATCTGAGCAGGTGGAGACAGACACACAGTTCTCAGGGGCCTCAGTGAACATGGAATGTGTAAGTTTGAAACAAGACAGGAGGCTGTGACTGGCTGGATTCTCTCTTCTGCTGCTCTCAGCTGCCATCTCCTCCACGATGCTGTACAACACCTTCAACTCCCCTGCTGGGGTTGTACCCGTCAGCACAGTGACAGAAGCGGATGAGGAAGAGCTGAAGCTTTACCAAGGATGCTGTGATGACCCCTGGGACAGGAAGCTGAAACAGGTACGGAAAGTGGTGGAGCACACTGATGACTGACATTCAAGAAATAGTTTCACTCGAAGAGCAGGCAAACCACAACCTCCCCACTCTCTGGGATGAGCCACGTGCTTACACCAGGTTTCCAGAAGTTGCTGGAAGTCTGAGCCCCTGAGGTAACCCCTCACTGCTTCTGTGCCCACTGCAGGCTGTGTCAGGAGCTGTGGGGATGCCCGTGGCAGTGCAGTGTGTGGCCTTGCCGTGGCAGGAAGAGCTTTGCCTGCAGTTCATGAAGGAGGTGGAGACCCTCAGCCATGAGAAGAGAGGGGCATAGCCCCCATGGTCCCCTCAGGGCCAAAGGGACAGCACTGCACGACTGCCACTGGCAGTGCAGAGACTACAAAGAGGAGGGAAGGAGGAAGGAAACACCATTTCCTGACCACTCTCCTTGCCAATAAGCATGGATCCTGTAAGGAACCAGGATGCCATGCAGACAGCAGGACTTAAACTGGCTTAAGCTGGGTTCAGATGATGATAAATCTATGCACTGCACCTTCCTGCAAGGATGGACATGGGTGAGTTTTCACCCCTTCACCCCCATTTCCATCGATGCTGCCCCTTGCAGAAGCAGGGTGGTACTGAGAGAAAAGGGTTACAAAATCTCAATAATACTTTCTTGCTGGCACTGGAGTAACTTCATATGGGCTGCCCTGTGAGGGATACAGCCATGTCCACCCTGTCCAGCACTGTATTTTCCTCACAGAAGTAAAAATGTAGCTATTAAGCAACTTTTATCATAAACTCCAGTAATCATTCACTGATGGCTATGGTTCTATGACTAGTTACTATTTGGAATCATACAAACACCTGCCCCCCAAACATTACATGGCATCTTGCATAGGAGCATTCACACTTTCCCACAGCCTTCCTGTCTGTGAGGGATAGCAGCAGTCACTGGCCTTTCCACAGCACCAAATCTCCAGCATCACGAACATATTTTCAGCCTCACAGGAGGGGCATTCTTAGGAACCTCTGATTTCAGGACCTCAGGCTGCTCTTTCTGAAGGCAGGAGATAAGCAGAGACAGATGCAACTCATTTATGCAGATGGTGAGATCTGGGACAAAGACTGAGATCCCCAGATGGTGTTTGTTAACCCAAACCTGCTCATGTAGGATCAAAGCAGTCAGACAGGAGGGAGAAAGCAGCACCCACACAGGGCCATTTATCCTGCCCCACACAGATGGATAAATCGCTCCCTCTGATAAGACCTCTCTTTCCTAGATTAAACACCTCAGTCTCAAACAGATAAAATATTCAGGAGACTTCACAGCAGGTCTTTCTCATTTATTTTCTACGCCTGCAGTAAAAAAGCAGGCTTCCTTTGGGACACTTTAAAAAGAAAAATAAATATAAAGCAGTTGTACTTCCCCTGGAAATTTGGGGTATTTCCTGACAGCAAACAGACATAGTCTGTTGCCCCTTCTACATCCGACGTAATTTGCAGAAATACATAGGTCCAAAGTTGGCTGTGAGGTGAGGCAGAACAAGCTCCCCCAGCCGGCAGTCTGAGAAGAAGGAAAACGTGTCCTGGAAGAGCGTCCGTAAGTGGCTCAAGTCCTCAACGTGGACACTGACGTTAAACTGGGTTTCTGCAATTTCTACCGCTCTCTCGACCACACACTCGTTCTGCAGCGGGGAGAGCGAGCACGTGGAGTACACCACGTCTCCTCCTGGCTTGGCAGCGAGGATCCCAGCCCTGCAGGCAAGATGAACACACACATCATCACAGGAAGGAGTGTGGGGCACAGGCATTACCACCCACCAAAACTGGGGAGCCAACAGGTGACTCATAGGAAGTGACAGACAAATCTTGAACTCCACAGACTCAGCAGTTTGTGTCACTGCAACGTGAGGACTGTTTTAGGCCAGGGCAATGAGTCAAATGGATGCTTAGACTGATAATGAATTTAACATGGGAGAGATGCTACTGGAGAGCAGCTGGAAGGTATAATCCTGCAGTCATGTCCAAGGGAATGGGATAAGAGCATGTAGAGGGGAAGAGACTCTTGCAGTTCAAGCACTGCCATGGGACTCTCTAATCTGTTTCCTTATTGTCACAGCACGGTGAGTCCATCCAGCCTTCCCAGCAAAACGGAGTGATGAAGCAGCCCATGTGCTAGGAGATGTGGGCACTCAGGGATCCTCCAGGGCTGATCAGTGGGATCTGGGAGACCGTCACCCAAAAGGACAACACAATACCTATCATGTTCCTTAGACCCTTCTCCCTAGCTCCTACAGCTACTGCTGGGGACAGGCAGGACCTGTCATCTGACCAAGAATATTTGCACCTTCTTACACTTATGCTTTGATGCATTCCAACTATTGCTCTTCCAGAAAACTACACATGGTTTCCACATTTCCCAGTTGGGGACAGACAAAGTAAAAAGAGGTTTCAGTGCTGGCCATGGAGAGCTACGACGGTAACAGAAACAGCATGAGGACACAGCATCGAGCTCACTCACATCAGCAGCTGCAGCTGCAGCATGGGCAGCATCTGACGCTCCTTGGTTCGCCTCTTGTGGAAGATGTTGTTGTCCTCCTCCATGGCAGAGTGCCTGTCTGTCGTGCAGGGCACATCCACCAGCACCTGCAGCAGCAGAGGTCCCTGTCAGTCCCATGCCCAGGTCGAGCTCAGTGAGTCCCCTTGTGCAGCTTCCCCGTGCCCACCTCCTCCACCCTCACCACGCACAAGCAGCTCCCGGTGGCTGAGCACGGGCGTGCACCACACTGAACTGTAATCATCTGGCTGCTCTGGCATTTTGGGAATGTGCAAACAGACCCAGAGATGGTGGAAAACATCCCGCATTCGTGCATGTCCTCGTTTAATGTTCCTCCTCTGGGTGTCTGCCTGGAAGATGTCACAGAAGCACACACAGCCAGTGCTCCTACAGCGACGCCTCCCAGAGCATCAAACCCAGCCCCTGAGGCTGGACATGGCTGAGAAAACAGAATTATCTAATCTTCACACTTAACCCCTTCCAGGTGATGGACAAGAATAGGACTTCTACATGGTATTACACAGGCAAATAAAGGTGTAACTCTGGATGCACATACGCACTGGATCCTGAAGGAAGGGATAGCAGGAGGAAATATTACTCCCTATGTATCTTAGTCCTCTTTCTTTCTCTGCATTTAAGATTGTGGAAAACTACACAGTTATACTGTAGGATAAGCTGCTGCCTTCCTCAAAATGAGGGTTTATCTTCACCGGTTCCCAATAACCTACCTTATGGAAAGTGCCACCGTCCACATCCTGCCAGTCCCTTCCGTCGTAGGATGTGACACTCACAGCTTCCCTGACTTCTCTGGGAACATACTTATGAAGGATCTGGTGCAGCCTCTTTGTCCGGGAAATGGAGACATCGTTGGCTGCCAGATGCCCTGCAGGGACACAACAGGAACACTGGGAATTGCAAAAACACACCTGATTCCCAACTCTTATACTCAGAAATGATTAACGGTCAGACATTAATGAGCACAGCACGCTCTTCCAGTCCTGTTTAAGGATGGGGAACAAGGGAACACCCACCTCCACTTACACAAAGCCCAGTCTGCAGCAGAGCCAGAGTCTTGCCACCCGGAGCTGCACAAAGGTCAAGGACAAGGTCATCCTGCTGCACATCGAGTGCAAGGACGGGCAGGACAGATGCTGCATCCATGAGATAATAACCAAGGAGCCCCAAAATGTCTGGCCTGGAAAGCACACAAGCAAATGTGCAAGGGGAAAAGAAAAGAGCAGTTGGAAGTGAGGACTGGGATGAAGGGAAGCAGCAGCCCCCAAGGCTGGCAACGCGAGTGGGTGGTCTGTCCAGGGATGTCTCACCGTGCAGGGCAAAAGCGTGTGATGTCACCCCTGGGGAAGGTGTAACACTTGATTTTGGGGCTGATGGAGGCACGAAACGGTGGCGATGTCTCTGCCTGTGTCATCGTCTCTGCCTGTATCACAGTCCTGCCCTGAACACAGCCCTCCTGGGAGCCTCTCACTGCTTCCCTCGCAGCCGCACCCCGCTGTGATTGCTGTGCCTTTTGGAGGGCTTCGGAAACGAAATCGGTGGCATTCAGCAGCTCCAGCTCTTGGGTGACGTGGTCGACAGCAGAGAAGTTGTTGAGGAGGGCGCCGTACTTCTGCTCACAGAGCAGCCCGGCACGGACAGAGGGCCACAGCTCCCCCAGGTGCAGGCTGTAGCTCGTGTCGAAGTGGTGCAGGGCCAGCCGTGTGGATGGGATGCGGGGGGCCGTGGTAGCCTTGGGGGGAAAAATACCAGAGACATTAAAAGATTAAATAGTTCAGCATCCCAGTACCTCCACCCAGCCTCCACGTTTTTCCAGGAGAATCCAGCGCTGGATTCTGTGCTGCCAGAAGTCCACAGGGCCTTTCCACTGCCCCTGAAAGTGGCAGGGACAGGTGAACCCCTACATCCACAGGCTGGTGGTGCCCTGGAGAGGGTTCAGGAGCACGAATGTGACAGGACTCGAGGAAAAAGCATGAAGCTGATTTGGGAGAATTTTAGGTTAGATATCAGGAGAAGGTTTTTCACCCAGAGGGTGACTGAGCAGTGGCACAGGCTCCCCAGCGAAGTGGCCAAGGCCGTCTGAGTTCAAGAAGCGTTTGGACAATGTGCTCAGGAACACGGTGTGATTCTTGGGGAGTCCTGCGCCGGGCCGGGAGTTGGACTGGACGATTCTGATGGGTCCCTTCCAACTCGGCATATTCCATGATTCCATGAATGGCCGAACGATTCCACGATTCCATGGATGGCCGAAAGGTGCTGGGCGCACGGGGCGGGCCCGCGGGGAGAGAACGGCCGCGCACTGAGCAGCGGAACGAGGGTGCAGCGAGAGGGGCGAAGTGGGGAGGTCAGAGGGGGGAATGGGGTGCCAAAGGGTGAGCGGGGAGGGACGCGGGTGCGAAGCAGCGCGGTGGGGGTGCGGGTGCGCCGGCAGCCCCGTCGGGAAGGGACCTCCCCGGCCCCGCTCACCCACTTCTCCTTGTGCCGGTGCCGGCGCTGCCCCGCTCCCAGCACCGCTCCCGCTCCCAGTCCCGGTCCCGGTCCCCGCCGCAGCAGCGCGGCCGCCGCCCCCCCGAGCAGCGCCGCCATCGCTCCCCGACAGCGCCTTCCGGGGCGGGACCCGGGAAGTGCTCCCGGCCAGGAGGGATGGGGCTCTGGGAATCCGGGTCTGGTGGCAGCGGGCTGTACCTAAATGACCTTTGGAGTGCCTTCCAACCCAACCGTTCTGTGGTTCTGTGATTACTCGGCCGGCTTGGGGCTGGGAAGGATCCAGCAACAAACGGGCTTTGCGGCAGGAGAAACGTGCGCGCAGCTGGACCTCGCACAACAAAAACTCCTGAAAGTAACGTTACCCTTACCCTAATAAAAATCTGTTTCGGTCCTCTAGGGATTAAGATTGAAATCCACCAGCAAAAAGACTATGGACCACTACATGAGTAAAGAACAGCCAAGTTAAAAAGGTGGCAGGCTTAATTCCACTTCGAAGAACAGCTGAGAATTTTTCTGCCCTGTGACATGTCCTAGTTTTCCTGCTACTGAACATCCTGCTCACAAAAGGAAGATGAAGAGCACAGACAGGACAGTCTTAGGTGACCAAGAAGGGACTGGTGACTCACAGAGAAAGGCTTTATGTCCCCCAGGTGACCCGCTCAGTGTTTGAGAAGGTGAACCAACACCATACGCCTCCACAGCCATGTTGTTGGTTTCCTGGGCAAGGAGGTAAAGCTGGCTGCAGCCAGGAGGCTCTTCCAGCCACTGGCAGCAGCAGGAGGCAGTGAGGGACAGGTGACAGCTTTCCCCCAAGGGTGGGGAAGGAAGTTTACTCTCCTAGAAAAGGGTCTTGAAAATAATCTTTGTGGCTCCAACAGATAAATTCTTCCCCGTGGGACTGGGCTGCAACTGCTGCATATCACGGCTGAAAAAAAAGGACACTCCCACAAGTGAGGATGACTCTCTCTGCTAAATTGGGCTCTGACACCCACTGATTTCACCTTAACCCAGTGCAAATCAGAAGCACAAGAACCTGGAAATAAACAGAAAGCACTTCCATGGGAACTGAACATTTTAATATGGAAAATTACAGAACATCAACATGTTTTTTTTTTGCACAGCTTCACATCTTCCAGGAGCACAGAGGCAGTGACACGCTGCCAGGAAGCCGTTTTATTGATGCTCAGCATGGAGGATGGACGGCAGGAAGCAGAACTGTGATCCAGGAACCGCTGACACCGGCTGTGGAAGCAGGTGGACATTCACACCCACCTTCACTTCAGTTTACTAAAAAGTTTGTGAGCAACCTGGAAAAGAGAGAGAGAGAGACCTCAGTAATTTGTGGTTTAGGGATGGAAATCAGTAGTGTTACCACCTGCCTCTTGGTTTTCTGGACCACCAATGCACACGGCCCTGCAGCTTCCCCCCAGTTCCTCTTGTGGTTCTGCAACAAGTCACTCGAGAAAACTAATGAGACGTCTTACAAAGCTTCAGCTCAGGTTAAAAAGGCTGAACTTTAAAATGACAAATACAAGACTGAAATAGCCAAGTGCCATCTGCAGGCCACAAACCATGGGTGTGACTTATTTAACTGTTTAATAACCTACTGAATCCCAGCTGGATCTGATGTAACGGGAATGAACCAAGCATTTAATAAGAAAACACAGTTTTTCAGAGCTCCCTCTGACTGAAGAGCTACCACATGTCACACTCGACCTGCCAGCACTGCCAGCAGCGTGGATGAAGGCAGCTCTGCCCCCAGCCCCAGCAGGGACGCCGCACTCACACAGTGGTCCCTGGCGTGCAGGAAGTCGAAGAGTTCCTCCGTGCACTGCTCCTCCGTCTCGGACCGGGAGGACACCCTCGCGTCACACAGCTCCAGCCGCTCCCGCGCCTTCACGCATTTCTCCGTCTGCTCGCAGTGCTCCCGCACCGTAGTTAAGGGATCCTGCGGACACGGGGCCGCGCTGAGCACCCGGACACCCCCACACGCCGCTTCCCCACGAGCCCCACGGCTTCAGGAGGGAGCCATGTCGCGGCTCGGGCTCAACCCCCCTCCCCACCGGGTCCTGGGCCGCCAGCACAGCCCGGCCCGAGGCCCCCGAGCCTGGCAGTCACCGGCGCGGCTCCCCGTCTTACCACCAACTCTTCCTCTTCCTCCTGGGGAAAGAAAAGAGAGCACAGCGTTACGGCCGCCCAAACGCCCCGTGTGCGCCGTCCCCCGGGCGGATGGGAGGAGGATCCCCCGCTCACCTCGGGCTCCCCGCCGCGTCCCATCGCGCTCCCGCCGCACAGAAGGACTCCGCAGGGTCACCCGCCGGAACTGCCCCTGCCCGCGCCGGCAGCGGAAGCGCCGCCTCGCCAGGCCGAGGCTTCCTCCCGCGGCGCGGCCCTTCCCAACATGGCCGCCGCCGGCTGCCGCGTCTATGACAGCGCCAGCACGGCCATTGCTGCGCTCCCTGCTCGCTTTATCCTTTCTTCCCGGGGCTCGCTGCCTTGGAGCCGGCTCGGCCCGGCCGCCGCCCGCCCGTCCGGCCCCGCCGCCCGGCGCGACCTCCCCAACATGGCCGCCCGCTGCCGCCGCCTCCCAAGATGGCGGCGCGGGATGGGTGGGCGGTGCCCGAGGCGGCGATGGCGGCGGAGGGGCCGCGCAGCCTGTTCGCGCTGAGCGCGGCCGCCGTGAGCCGCAGCATGGGCGCCCTGGAGCGGGACGTCTGGGGTAAGGCGCGGGCGGCGCGGGGCGGCGGGGCGCGGGGCCCGGGCCTGCCCGCACCCTGCCGCCCTCTCCCTCTCCGCAGCGCTGCCCGGGCACCTCCTGCGGGGGCTCCTGCCGCTCCTCACCATCTTCCGCCTCGAGCGGGCCGAGGGCGCCGCGCGGAGAGCAGGTGACACCGCCGGGGACGGCGGCGACCGCGGGGGGACCTCCGGGCGGGAGGGATGGGGCCCCCAAAGTGATGGGGTGGGAGGCTGCGGGGATGCCCCCAAACCTGGAGGGACGAGTCCTACACTAGAGGGACCCTCCGCTGGAGAGGGGAGCCCCGACCCAGGGGGGTGAACCCTCTGTGCAGGAGGGATACCCCCAGAGCACCGTCCCTGCCGCCGGGGCTGGGACACTCCCCTGCATCCAAACCCTCGTGCTCTGTCCCACACCCCGGCAGGGTTCCCGCACCGCTGCGGGCCCTGCTGTAACTTCGCTCCTTTTGAGGACCAACAAAACCTGACATTTTTAACTCGTGCCCCGTCAAAGGCGGCGGTTTTCCCCCTGCCTGTCCTTGTGCCGCAGGGTCTGGGTCTGTGCTCCCGGCACCCCGGTGAGCCCCAGGGCAGAGCACTGGGATGGGGAGAGGGGTGAAAGCACCCCGTTGATGGTTTTTCCCCCCCAGGCCTCTCGACACAGCCCATCTGGCGCCAGCTGTGGGATGATGTGATGAAAACCAGGCCGCCCAACTCGGAGGTGAGGAAACGCTAAGGTGGAAGAAGGGGCACGACACAGGTGCCGTTTTCCATGAGGTTTTGTTTCTGGCCACTTCTAAGCAATTGCTGGCACTTGTTTAGAAGCGTTCATAGAGCTCCGGACCAAGGCATGACCGTGGTAGCACAAACATTTTGGGAAGCAGGGTTCATAAAAGGAACAGAAGTGTGCAGCCACACCCTTCATCTCCCAACAGCGAGTTTGCCAAAAGAATAAATTCTGTCTTCAGAGATTCTCAGGGAAACAAAAGATAAAAGTATCTTATGTCGTGCTTACGCTAGTAAAAACATGTGCTCATGTGTTAGAAAGGATGAGAAAAATACTTAGAGAAGACAGTGAGTTTGCAGAATGGTTTTATGTAGGAAAACTGAAGCAGCTTCATTGAGTCATCATAAAAGAATCATTAGCAGGCAACTTAATGACAGCCTGTAAATAAATGCTCAGGAAGAAAATTGCCGATGACGTGGTTTTCAATAGGCAAAAACATGGCTCAGCTTCAAACCACTGAATATGTTTTAACTGGGCCAGAAGCAGAATGAAGACAGCCATGGGAGTAAACTCAGGTTTTCAAGGAATACACTGAGGAAGGATGTTGAGAAGTAGAAAGGTAGTCTCAGTGGAGGTAGCAGGAGGGGTTTTTGGACACTGCATTTACCAGGTTAGCAGACAGCAATAATTTATCTTAAAAAGAACAAGAAAAACGCTGAACTTTTTGTTCCTATGCCCTGTTCAATTGCAGAATATACCCTGTTGGAGGAAGAAGTTCCTTGAAACGTTCTTCTCCAATGTTCTCCACGGTGTCTTGGACGTTTCCTCCGACTGGCGCCTCAACGACCATCACTTTTCGCCGCTGCTCCACAGCTCCCCGCACGTGTCCCAGCTCACCCTCTGCAACATGCTGCAGGGCGCCGTGGAGCTCGCTGCTGAGCACAACCACAAAGTGCTGGAAAACCTGGCTGGCTCTCTGCGCATCCTGAAGTTCCAGCACCTCCTCTCCTCCGACCAGTCCATCAGGCGTTCGCTGGTTTTGCTCCTCCACCGGTTGATTCACCACGGCTCTGTCAGCCAGGTGTCCATGTATTCCTGGCCTGTTCCCGACACGGTTCTTCTCGTTCTCATTTTGAGCATGAGCGCTGGGTTTTGGCGCTCAGGAAATGCCCTCGCTTATCAGTGTGGCCTTTGCAGAGAGGACAGAGCCCCAAGCCAGGAGTTGGTGCAGGAGCGAGCAGAGAGTGGCCGTGACGCTGAGAGGGAGCGGAGCAGTGGTGAGAACCAGAAGGGATTCCCTGAGGCCTCAGTGGAGGCTGATGCTCACCTGAACTCTGTCCTCTCTGTCCCAAGAAGTTCTCCCCTGCAAAACCAACCGTGTGAGGAGGCCAGCAGCGAGGGGCCCTGTGACCACACCAGCATTCAGGGGGGATCTTCCCCTCGCTGTGGCTCAGGGCACCCGTCCTGTCACCCTGTTCTTCGAAAGACACGCAGACGGCTGAAACCCGCCGTGGGGAGGAAACGTCGCTGCCTCAGAAGGAGCAGGGGACCCTATGCTGACCCAGAAGACCTGTATGATTTTGTTTTTACTGTTGCTAGAGAGGGTAATTCAGGGCTACTTGACAAAACCAGCAGCACGGAGGACGAAAACACA